TCAGCTGCAGAAGAAGCGCAGCAGCAGCAACAGCAGCATCAGCATCAGAAGCCTTTTGTGCTTAACGAATGAGCGATCGGCTCTTTTGATATAAATCGCGAGGAGCCGCGCGCGCGAGAGCAGCTAGTGATCGTTCAAAGATGCAAATCCCCCCAAGGGAGAGAAAGAGAGAGAGAGCGCCAAGTATAAGTCGAGTTGTTGCTAGCAGCAGTAGTAGTTGCGCGAAATACGATGCCACGACGCAACGTTACTTCTTCCTTTTTTTTCGAAGAGATAGATCGCTCGTTGATTCGATCTTGCAACGATAAGAAGGTATATATTTAGAAGGCGAGATGAGACTTTTGTGACTGTTTTTTTTCTCCGCCCATCACGATGAGTGGTGATAATTTTTTTTTTTTTTCATTTCTTATCCTCTATCAAATTTGATATTTAATAATGAATACATTTGGGTTCAGAAATAACAATCATTTGTGTTTCGTCACGACTGCCTGACGGGATATCGAAGCCCATAAAAAACCTGGGGCTCGGGGATTGAGATGTTTCCATTGTTGCTGATAAAAGCACTTATATTGCCAGGCGCGCGCGAGCAGCACCGGATGGAGTTGTATAACCATGGAGCATATTTATGAATCAGTTTTCGCATTAAAAAAACAAAACAATAACAACAACACATCGAGCCGAGGTTTTGATTTACAATTCACGATCGCCCCCGCAGCCCCCCGCGCGATCGTACGTTAACGTTTTTAGAAAATAATGACGTCTAGAAGATTGGACTGAATTTAATACCTCGATGCAAACACCGATCTTTTTTAATTTTTGCTCGTGTTCTCTTATCGATTTCACGCGCGCGCGCGCCGGTATCGGTCATTGTGCTTATCGGTGTGACTCAACGCGCTGAGCTGCATTCGCCCGAATGGAATTCAATGTTTTTTATCGCATATCGACGCGCGCTGACACTCTCGCGCAGCGCAACGACAATAATATACACCGAGTCGGACGAGCTATATCGCATTTCACATGCTCGCTGTGTACTACATTCGCCCTGATAATGTGCAGTCATAATTATTATATTACATACGCGTGCTCGCGGAAATCGAGGTTACGACAAAAGCTTCGGGCTCGTACGCGCGTTTCCGCCCACACAGTTGTTTATTTTTCACAAACGGGACGCAAGTTCAAGTTCGCGCTCTGACTCGTGGCGGCGCCAAGTTTTTGCACTCTCTCGTGTCCCGAATAATATCCTACTTACTTCTGCTAATTGCACTTCGAGTACATCCTGGATGATATTTAATTTTTTTTCCTCTCTCTCTCGTTTACGCTAGATCCCTTTCGCTTTTCAGTAATAAGCACAAGAGAGCCGACCTATGCCGAGCATATTACGTACATAGCTCGAGCTCCTGCGGCACACGCGCGTGCGTGTATAGCTTACGCATTATGAGGGGTAACTTTTTGCCGCGAGAAAGATTATTGAGTTACGCGATACAATGTGTGTCTCTTTCCGTAATCCCTTTGAGATCGTATACACGTACGTGCTAGTATGCACGCTCGTCGAGCTAGACTCAGACCATGCGATATCGTTAAGATTCGTTAATTTTAATGATTTTATATCACGGGCGAGAGTATTCGGCGAGGATGGCATTATCAAAGATCAAAGGAAACTATGATACACTTTTTATTTTACGGTTCTGTATATTACTTGCGCAAGGTCGCGCGCGTGTCTGTACATTTCTCTCTATGTTTGTACCGCACGCGTGTCCATACATCAAATGCAATTATATATCATGCTCACTCGCAGCAGTGCTCACTCGGTGAAATAAGTCATGATATTGCGCAAAAAAAAAAATAAAGACACAATATCAGGGAGATTTCTGCGCTTGAAAATTGAACAGCACACACTCACGTACGTAGTATACGTATTATGTATCGGGATCGCAAAATCAAGGCTAAAGAGCTCTCAGCTGCGTCGATATTTATGTATAATTGGCTGCTCTCTGCCTTTCTATTATTTGCATTTTCCGAGCTCTTGCACTCGAACGAACAATAAACTCGCTGAATTTATAGATATATTCGTTATCGATTGCTTGAGAGCTTTGCTCAGTTGCGACGTCGGCGGTGGTGGCCTGCACATACACGCGGTACACGCGAGGCGGCCTGTCGTGATATTTCTTAGAAAAAGACGCGATTTTCTTTCGCGTTTTATATTATATCGACGAAATATAAAGGAAAATTTTGCATCGCCCCGAGCAGTGCATAAAACGATATTAAATTTAATTATATCATTTAATCGGTACACGCGGGGTTCTGCGCGAGAGGTCCTGTGCGTGTGCGATGTAAACCTCGATTGTTTACAACTTCATCGGCCGTAAAGTTGATAATAATATGCTCTCGCGCGCCCGAGTCCGCGAGAGTTCGGATGGTGTATACGTTATACACAAATGGCTATTCATTAAAATGCAATGCCGCGCAGAGAGAAAGAGAAAGAGAGAAAACCGGAATCACGATTGCATTATAACAATCGGCTTTTCGGTCGCGGCGCGCGTTAGCGCGTACGGACCTGGAAAATATACACTACTTCATAATATATAATATATCCTATGCTCATAATTTAAAGCGCTAATATTATCTCTTTGTACGTGCGACGAGACGCGAAAACACATACATAGCGATCCGCGCGGTGCACGTCACACACGCACCTTTCGGCTCCGACCGGTGTGTGTATGTGTATGTGCCGGTGCAATTACAGACGACGCGATAATCGCTTTGTCTTTTCCTCATAGTCGTCGTCGTCGTCGTCGACGTCACCGTGGCGCGTTCGAGCTTTATAAACGATTATATGATGATGGTAAGCATATATGCTTATACGCGAGCGTCGCGGCGCGAGAAGCGAATAATTGGAATTAGGATAATATTATTGCGGGCACTGCGGCCAGCTGTGCCGAGCTAGCTCGAGCTATTTACCCTATAGCTTTGTTCTAGCCTCTCTCTCTCTCTCTCCCTCTCGCATGAAAATGGGCAAATAGTAGTAAACTCGCGTGCTTATGTGGATAGGTATATGCATGCTCTCTGCCTAGAAAACCAGAGAGAGAGAGAGAGAGAGAGTCAATTCGAGCGTGCGGATTGCCAATTAGTTATTCTCCGTGAGGCTGACCTTTCTTCCTCTCGGAGTCGCTGTAGAAAGAGGTACACCATTATACCGAGGAGAATATTAAAGTAAGATGAGAGTGAGAGCGAGAGAGGGAAGGGGCTTTTATTGTACGCATACGTATGTAAATGTATAATTGCTTAAAGTGCTCTGTAATTGTCGCGAGGATGACGAGCTTACGTACGCGTGGTTTGGAACCTATTATACCGTATGTATACGCGTGTGCATACGCGTCTTGTATGGAATATCATTTTCGAACTCGTGCATATATGGAGAGAGAGAAAAGGTTAATTTCTTGCCAAGGATGGAAGGCACGAAGCTTTGTGTATCAAGACCAAGATTGCTTTTATTATTTTAATTTTATATCGCGTACGTTTAGTATTCGTGCGCACCACGATGGTCGTTCTTTATACATGAGAATTTTGGTCCAGCTGATTGGCCCATAAGCGCGCGTATACATGTGCTGCTGTATGTATGATTTATTAGCGCGCGGCATTTTCAGAGCGACAAAAAATAAGCCGTACGAAGCAAGATAAAGAAAAACAAGCCGTATAAGCACGGCACAACAAGTGCGCGCGAGGAAGAGATCGCGCCGCAGTACAATGCCACCAGCCTCGACGGAGAGAGAGTCGGCCTTTGGAGAATTTAATTACGACGAATTTGCGGCTAATAAATACTTTTCTCTGTCTCCACCAGCGCACTACCCTTCGAGAGCAGGCGCATATAAGTTTTTGTCGAACTCGAGAGAGCCTCCCATGTGTGCGCATGTGTGTATGTGCAGTTTGTACGATATGTATGTGCGTATACACGGCGCCTCGCATTTGTGTGATTTACAGCTTCTAATAAAACGGTCAAATTTATATTTGGTTTTCCAGTTTGCACCGGGCTGCGTCCAGCACTGAAACAGACGTACATGCACACGTACACTCACACATCGCACATATCGCCGCAGAGGTCCGAGTTGAAAGATTGATGGACTTTAATTTGAAAGGCGCCATGTAAAAAAGCTTATTCGAAATTGAGAGGTATCACACGTATAAATGACAAACGATCGTTTTTCGAACTTTATGGCGCGCTCGCGCTTCAAGTACACGCGCGCCCGTCCGCCGATATATATACGCATATATCTCGAGTAATGAATGTATCGAGGAAGCGCTTGTCGTTTGTGCTGCGTATACGTTGACGCGAAAGGGTTTTTGGGGTGGCGCGAACGTCATTTTTTTTAAATTGAAGTGTATAATACGATAATAATCAATTTGCGTGTGTATGAATTCGATTGCGAAGCGCGATGAAATGTTTTGTTACTATATACGACTCGTTGGACGTTTATGTTTGTATGAGCAGCAGCTGTCGTCATTAGCTATATATTGCTTATATATTTTTTCTCATTTTTAGACAAACCTTTTTACTAACGAGAATCAATTTTCCACCGATCGTAAAACAAAAGCCATCATCTACTCACGCACGCGAGTCTGTCTTAAGTATAGTTATGGTATTATTTCCATTTAAGCTCTCACTTATCCATTAACCTTTTTCCTCTCCTCGTTCAATTTTTATCATCAATTTCGCTTAATTGCCTCGTCTTGCCCGCCGTACTGCCATAACTTCGCTACTTCTCCCGCTGCTGGTGCCGCTGTTGCCGCCGCTCAACCCTCGCGTTTTCAATTTTATTTTCCATTTTTTTTTGCCCTCTTTCCTCGGAACATCCGTAATAAAATATATATATATAAATTTCTTCGATTTCATCGCTTCTTCGTTTCGTTCCTCGGCCAATATTTATGATTGGACCGGGTCTCTGTTTCTCTCTCTATATTTGAACCAAACGCTCAACGCACGTGTGTGTGTTTTCTGTTCGCAGGATGATGGAGGGTGGTGAGCCGATGGGGAGGCGGCAAGTCACCACTGCTACCGCTGCCCCGAGGAGGTACAACATGCTGTTCCTGATTTTGCTGCTGCTGCCACTGCTGCGACAGGCCAGAGCTAAAGGTAAGTGTCTCCGTAAATAATAATAATTATTTTTCTTTTTTTCTTGTTTCTTCCAACTCGCTCGAGACTCACGACGTTTCAACCGAGCCAGAAGAACCAGGAGATAATATTATATATAAAAATTAACCGTTTTTAATTGTGGTCGGGTAAATTCTTCCATCTCTCTCGAGAGAGAAAAAAAACAACAACTCGAGAATTTATATATAACAGGGAGAGCCTTGCCGGCGCGCGCTCGAGCACTTCTTGACACAGAACTATACTATGCGCTGCTGCGAGTATTATGTATGGGTATATGCTCCAGAAAGTACACGAGGTGCACAGTTGCATATATATCGCACCTCGCTCGGCTTCGCTCCGCGACACATATCCATATGTATATAATACGTAGTGGCACATGTACGACACTCCAAAGCCTCGCGCTCACTCGTCTGTGTGCTGCATCATGTGTGTGCGCTCAGCACTGTTTCGCGTATACAAAGTACAGGTACAGAGCCGTGCGCGCTCGCGCAAAAGTGAAGTGCCGCGAGGGCTCTTCTCTCCCCGCGCGTCTGCGTGCATGTGCTGCTGCTGCTGTATAGTAGTTGTGTAGTATACGCTTCGTCTTCTCCTTCTTCTCTCGCTCTCTCGCTCGCGGAGCTGCTTCGCGCCGATCCTCGTGTAACTCGGCGATGCTGTGTATATGCACGGTAGGCAGAGAAGCAGTGCTCGAGGGAGTCGAATGTAATTGCGCGTGCGTTAAGAGCAGCAGCAGCAGCGCACGGGTTGAGGATGAGAAAGAAAGAGAGAGAGATTAACTCGTGAGACTTACCTCGCACAGCAGCAGCAGCAACTCTTTTGGCCTTTAATGAGGCGCTTTCGAATATAAGAAGTAGCTGATGCTGATGTTGCTGCTGTTACTGCTGTTACTGCCTGCGAGCGTGGGCAGGAGAGGAGGTTTTTCTTCCCTTTCTTATTTTTTCTTTTTTTTCTACTATATAAAAATCTTACCGTTGGATTATCGTGCGCGATATGTGTGTACGCGCGTGCAGCAGCCGCACTTTAACTGCGAAGCTGCCTCCGAGACTTTTGCGTATATAACCCGCGCGCGAGATATATCCGCCTGCATTCCTGACCAAAGTTCCGCTTGTCGTTACTGCTGCTGCTGCTGTTGCTGTTGCTGCTGTAGGAGAATCGATTTGCTTTCATTTCAATTTCGCGCGAAGCAGACTTTTGACTCGCTCTTTATCTTTTATTCTCTTTTCTCTTTGCTTGGGTTACTCAAACAAATGAAATATATTACGGTTATCGTCATTTTCACCCTATTAGAGGGACATATATAGGTATATATTGTGTGTACATGTAAGATCGGGCGACGTCGAAGGGAGCAACTATATAACCGTTTTTAGTAATTCATTTTATGTCGCTCGGCGTTCTGTATGTATAGGACCCCACTTGCACTTGCCAAGCCACAGCAGCAGTAGCAAAAGCAGCAGCAGCAGCAGCAGCAGCGTCAGCCCATGGCACCTATATCGATCGACTATTATACAATTTCTTCCACCCTCTTTGGCTAAAAACTCGATGCTACGGACTGTGCGTGTGTATGTGTGCAGCTCAGCGGCGTAGCTCTCTGAATGCGCGGCGCGTTTCACAATGAAAATAGGCGCGCGTATCGAGTTACTTTACAACAAAAAAGCTCTCTCTCTCTCTCTCTCTCTCTCTCTCTCTCTCTCTCTCTCTCTCCATTATTTTTTATTCTCGTTTGTTTACACATTCGCGTATACAAGTAATATTCATGATTTTTGAATGCAAATGTAACCTGAATGCATTTCTATGTACACGAGCGCGTTCGCGCGCGCTTCAAGCTTGCAACAATACATCGTTGTTTTCGTTATATCGAGATATATATATTAATTCGGAAAGTTATTTAATTCCGCGTCTATATAATAGCTATAACCGAATGCGCGAGCACGAGCGAGCTTCTCGAAATATTAAAAAAAAAAAAAAAAAATTATCCTAGCCACGTGAAAGCTTTTGGCAGTCCGGTGTACGCACTTTTTCAATATGCGCAAAATTTACGTGCATACGTAGGAACATTTATTTATACGTTTATAAAATAACGTGTGTATACCGGTGCACTTGTATGTACACAAATGCAGAGAATTTTTTATAAACAATTCGCTTTTATTTGCGCACGTGGTCGCGCGCGCACTCGGATCACTGAGGTATTATTTGAAACCAAGATTCCGTGAATTCTTTGTGGGCTCGCGTGGCCTATGTTTGTACTTGTGTGTATGTGTGTGCCCGGAAAAAACAAAAGAAATAGCGCAAAATGCAGAGCACTCGCAGGAGCAGGAGCAAGAGGAAGAGGGTTGCAATACCCTGTATAATGGCACGGCTATGTGTATAAACGAAAGAGCAGGAGAGAGCGAGTCGGTGTACAGAATGAAGAATGCTTGTTTCAGTATATCGGAAATCGGATTTATTTTCCAGCCAAGTATTTTTCGCCTCCATCCGAGCAGCAGCAGCAGCGGCGGCGGTGGCGGCAGCCTCTCCACTACTATACATACACTAGCGAGGGTATTATTGTTTCCGGTATTAAAACAAAACACCGATTCGATCTATGCGCACGCCGACGCCGCTGCCGCTGCCGAGTCAAAAGTATTGTTTTAGCGAAGGCTCGTTTTTGCAAAATTATGCAGAGTAATCGCGTAAAAATAAAATGCCCCGAAGTTTTCGCATTTTTTCTCCCTCCTCCTTTATAATACCTCGAGCGCACCGGCGTCGTCTGTATTTTGCCGATTTTACACGGTACACGCCCGCGAGCTCGTGCGTATGTGGGGATCTCTATGTGTGTGCACGTGCGATTCCATTTTGAATTGCTGCAGCGCATCAGAGAGAAATAATAATAATAAAATCACGGAAGTTTTAATAAAATATATAGATCATTCGGATATTTATAAAAATACTTTACTCATTTAGTTGCGTGAATTGCTTACGCCTCCTATCGGTAACCTATGTGAAACTCGCAGCATACAATAAATTGTAAAGTGATTCATTCCTCGAAAAAGATCGATTCCGATCTTATACTAATATTGTACACATTTTGTTGCGCGATTTTCTTACGCCTCCTATCGGCAGCCGATGTAAAACGCACAGCATACAACAGACGGAGTATAAACTATTACGTTCCGCAGTGCTGCTCTATCAACTGCTATCGGGACGCATACGAACTGCTCATTATATCAAATCATTATAGACAAATTCTTGTGTAGCTTGGAAAAACACTTTACTTTACCTGCAAGCATAAGAGAGACATAATCTCGAAGATTTTTCCCCTTGTATTGTGCACCAATGAACGAAACGTGTTAGCGCAGCAGTAGCAGCAGTTCGTTAGCATCTCGCGCAAACCCATTGCAATATCGAATATTCACCGGCGAAACTAATGAAATTAGCCACTACCACCACCACCATTCATGCAATAATAGCCCCGTGTGCAGCACACGACTGCACCGAGAAGTGCATGGTGCAGTACCAGCAGCAGCCGAAGCGAAATTATTAAGACACGCACGCGGCAGATCAATCCTGCAGCGCCTATACAGTGTCAGTCGGGAATCCATTAAAGGCAGCAGTCGCGGGGCTGCAACGACTGCTGCTGCGCACACATTGCACACACACACAGACCGATGCAGTCACTAAAGAGGAGATGCATCGGATCCTGCAAAATATGTAGTAGTATAACAATTAATCCCTATATCTATTATATAGATGTGCATGTGCGGCAGAGTCGGCGCGTCGTTAACGATGCCAGCTCGTCGCTGCCTCTGCCGCCACCGTCGCTGACGATCCACGTGCTGCTGCTGCAATATGCGGCGTATAACGAGCCTCGTAATATCAAATTCCGAGCAATATTCATCAATACGTTACACGACGAGCTCTCTCGTTCTCTCTCTCTCTCTCGCTCTCTGCATTACGCTTCGTCTGCTGCTCCAACGCGCGCCCAGCTATATACAACGCCGTCGAGCGCTTCCATATGAATTGTGTACTGCGCGCACGTTCCAAGACAATCGGATAAATCAGTTGTAATTATTCGTATACTCCGTCGCTCTCGCGGTTATGTATATTCCGAGAGATGAGCTTCTGCGCGAGTTCAACCGTGTGTTAATTATAACTACTCGCCTCTCGCGTACAGTACGTAAATACGAAGCTTTTTTCCCTTTCTTTTTTTATAGCTCTTCATCAGTCGTGCAATCGTTGACTTCGACTCCCTGCGCGAGACGTCTCGCTGGATTTTTCATCGCATGCGCAGCGCAGTGTTTGTTTTTCCGATGTCTTGTACACTGCAGTATACAAGCGGGCTATTTTCATTTTGTTAGTTTGCAGCGCTGTACGTACGTGTATATTTCCTATGTTTGTGTGTGTATTTATACGCGTGTGTTTGCCGAGCTCTTCCTCGTCAAAGGGTATCGATTTGACTTTCTCGGACCGTCTGTCTGTATCCCTCACTGCACGCAAATCTCGCCCTTAAATTATAATGCGCGATGAGCCAAGCTGATTGTCGTTAATTTCTTTGCGATTTTGAACTCTGAAACACATTACGTGCGCGCTTATTTTAGATTGCTTCGTTGATCTTTCTTTGTGTGCATTGAACATTTTATTCTCGAGTGAGCACAGATTGAAGAGAAGTCAGTGCAGACAGAACTTTCATTGTTTTTTTAACGCTGTTCATGTTTAAATAATTTCAATCCCTTCACCTCTTTTAAAATGTCTGCAAAAAAATCCGTGTACCCCTATTCTATTACTGATATTTATTTTAATATTCTACATATTTCGTTGCGCGCATTGCTTACGCCGCCTACCGGTAGCCTAAGCGAAACACACATCGGACACAAATACGTAAACAGACTAGTAAACACGTCTTAAACGTATTTGACACTTTGCGATCTAATCTTGCAGTATCGCACATAACACACACATGAACCCACTTATCTGCTCGGAAAATTCGTAAGGCAATAACGATACGT